CAACAGGTCTGAACAGACAGCAGTCTCCCACATGACTGTGTGATCCCGTAATACGTTTATGTGTTCTGTGATGTGCCAAAACTCTCTCTCCAGTAGACAGTTTTTTTTTTTTTTTTTTTTCCTGGATGTAAGTACCTATTTATTTTATTTTATGGGACTCAAATACTGGAGTCTACCTTCATATCGCAACATAATACAAATGTGACAGATGTTTCTGTGATCTGGAAACAACAACTTGTGAAATATACGTCATGTACAATGCCTTTTGAAAAATGAATAAAAATGAAAATTATACAAAAAAAAAAAAAGAAAATAGTGCAATAGTGCATTAAATGCTTTTTAACATTTACAAACATCAAACATTGCTTTATAGCTTAAGCTTTTCTTTAGTCACTGTAAGTAATCCACAGCCAAAAAAAGGAACCTAAAGTCTCTCCCCCTCACCTCCTTTCTCTTTTTTTCTCCCCCACATCAGTAAAAATTAGTGCAATTTGAACAACAGTGAGTAAAAAACGGACTCTTTTCTAACAGGAATAACACCAAAAATTAGTGCAATTAGTTAGGGAAGAGAGTAAGTTAGAGTTCAGAGCATTTGGTCTTTAATGCTTCTTGCTTCAAGCTTCTGACAAGACGCTACAATACATTTACCTTGTAAATTGAAACTTTGTATGCATGTAGTGTGGACACCAAACTTTGTAGCTTTGCAGTTTTTGCTGTACATGTGGAAAAGCATGATGCTCCCCTTTAATGCGTAGCTGCCAGCGCTGCTGAGAGCCATCGGATAAACAGTCGTTATCAGTGCATAATCACATGCCACGTGTCACTGTGGGTAGCTTTAAAGCTTTGGAACAGACACACATTTTGTACCCTGATAATGCTAATGCTAATGTTGGAACAAAAAGAGGACTTACAATGCCGGCTTGCCGCTATCTCCAGCTAGCGTGCCAGGATACTTCTGCTTCAAGTGCTCCAGCATAGCAGTTGTACTGCTGTGAAACGCCATCTCCAGCTTGCAAAGCTTCCATATCACCAAATTTATGAGGTCACTTGCTGAAGTACTCCCACACCATGGATGAGCGTGGTGAGGTCTCTTAGGTGGGTTTTGTTCACTGTCCGTGCTTAGTGTTGCCATTCTCTATGTTATTATTGTGCAACGCTTTGTATTTTCATAGTCGATTACTCTAGTGTGTGTATATATATTTACATATACACACACACTCACACACACACACACACACATATATATATATATACACTACAGGCCAAAGGTTTGGAAGCAAGATCAGATTTGTCCAAAAAAAGATCATAGTTTCATATATATAATTTGCAACACAATAAACATGACTATTGTGTAAAGAGTAACTTATCAGAAGACATTTTGACTATAACCATAGGTACTTGAGTTATTGTTGCTGAGACTTTGCTTTCTTTAAAGTAACCCCCTCTGGCTTTAACAACAGCTTGGCATATACCAGGCATTCGTTCCACAAGTTTTTTAAGGTATGTTCCAGGCATTTCAAGCTTTCTTAAGTTCATTAAAAAGAGACTGCTGATTCGTGGGACTCGTTTTTCTGACTGATCGATCCAATTCATCCCGCACAAGCTCAATTGGAGAAAGGTCTGGAGACTGAGGGGGCCAAACCATCTTTTGAAGAACACCTTCCTCTTCCTTTTTGTCTAGGTAACCCTGACAGAGCTTGGCAGAGTGCTTTGGGTCATTGTCTTGCTGCAAAACAAACTTATGAGCCACAAGTCTGAGTCCAGATGGAACAGCATGGTGCTGGAGGATGGAGTGGTACTGTTCCTTCTTCATGATACCCTTTACTTCAAACAAATCTCCTACTCCATCACCTGCAAAACATCCCCATACCATGGAACTACCACCTCCATGCTGAATTGTGGGTGTAACACATGGTGCTTTCAGACATTCACCAGTTTGTCTGCGGACATAGACTCTGTGTTTTGAACCAAACAGTGCAAACTTGTTTCTAGTCATTTTAAGTCCAATTTTTCAATCAATCAATCTATAGCACATTTAAAAGAACCATGGGGGTAGCCAAAGTGCTGTACATTTAGACATAAAAACAAATAAAACAAGCAAAGAACATGATAGAGAGAGCAAAAATACATAAACACAATAAATAAAGAGGCCAATGGCAACAGCTCCAAATTATGGCAGCATATCAATAGAGTAACAGACTCATGCAAGCGCAACCACCCTAAAATAACTAACCTAAAAGTAAACAATATTATCATTGACAATAATGAGGCAATGGCTAATGTTTTTTAACACCTTTTTTACTGAGTCCGTAGAAGAACTGTCCAGTAAATTCAAATCTAGTGAGTTATCTTCTGAGCAGCATGATAGTGCCCATTCAGATTAATTAAGAGAAATCAAAATGGTCTGCTGGAGCCTATTATGCATTTAGTCAACCTGTCAATAAAAACAAACAGGTTTCCAGAGAGCTGGAAAACGGCACTAATTGCCCCTATACACAAGTCAGGAGACAAGGACATTGCAAGTAACTATAGGCCTATTGCTGTTCTTCCTGTCGTCTCAAAAATTTTGGAAAAGGTTGTTGCTGCGCAACTAACAGAATACTTAGAGTCTAACCATCTTCTTCACCCACAGCAGTTTGGATTTAGACCTAAATATTCAACAGAAATTGCTAACTGCTACCTGCTTAACAGGATCAAGGGTCTACTGGTGAAGGGACATGTTGTGGGGACAGTGTTCCTGGACCTAAAAAAGGCTTTCGACACTGTGAATCACAGAGTCTTACTGTCTAAGTTGAAGCACTTCCAAATGTCTGCAGAAGCCTTACAGTGGTTTGAGTCATACCTAGGGGGTAGACAACAGTGTGTCAGGGTAAATGGGGAGAAATCATCATTTCTTCCCAATAGTATGGGACACCTAGCAAGGCAGAAATCAAATCAGCTGTGCTCTCATGAATAGTTGTGTACAGCTGGTCATTCGGATGATTATGCTTGTTTTTGCTCTTATCTTTTTCCTCTCCTAAGCATATGTATTGGGTTTTAGTTAGGTGTTCACTATTAGTAAATATAAATTGTTGTTTTTGTACTTGACTGGGTTTTAAGATTAGTAGCACTGCATTTTTTATTCTGACTAGGTTTTAGATAGGTATTAATTGATGTAATTTAGAAAAGCCTCCTGTGGACAGGTGATGAAAATTAGCACTTGTGCTATATTCACTTTTAACAATGCATCTGGTTCTTCCAATGTGTCTGTGATGTTCATGTCAAATAAATATAACATAACATAACATAACATAACATAACACAACATAAATAGATATATAAATAAGCAGGCTCATGGCAAGTTCTAAGGTGATAACAAACAAAATAACACTAAAATGTACTAAAAGCCAAGGAATAAAAGTGTGTTTTTAAACGGGATTTAAAAACAGGGAACGAGGAGGCCTGTTTAATATTCAAGGGCAAGTCATTCCAGAGCTTGGGAGCTGCTGCAGCAAACGCTCTGTCCCCTCTGAGCTTCAGCCTTGTATTGGGAACCGTCAGTAACAGCTGATCAGCTGATCTTAGGGGTCGGGTGGGCAATAAGGCTAGAGCATCTCCAAAATATAAGGTGGAGCAAGATTGTTCAGGCCTTTGGACATGTTTCCGTGTCCTTTCCCTGTCCTGCAGCGGCTGAACAGATGATTTATTTTAGTGATCAGATGAGTTATTTACTTTAAGCCTACATACGAATATTATAATATTAAGTTTTGTGAGCCAAATTTATTTTATATGCCAACATCTATGAAAGAAAGAGCCAGTCCACGGAGCGTGATGCGTCATTTACGCACAGATGGTTCCGATTTTAATGCCTTTTTTGGAATTTATGTTGTGATCTGTGTGCACAACCCACCTTTGTCACGTGAGGTTTAAATATATGCAACTTTATGTGAGTGTCTTTATTGGTGGAAAGGGATGTTTGTCTTACTAGTGGCTCCAACATTACACACACCAAATCCATCTGTGCTCATATGAGAGAGTGTGGAGGACGCCCTCTGCAGCGACACTTGTTGAGGAGCTGCCTTCTGTTGCCATCGTGTGGCACTACTGTCTTCAGACATCTCTTAATCTCTTTGACTACTTCACGAAAATAGTAATACGCCTCGTCTTTGACGGATTTAAAGGCGAGGAGAGGAGCTGATTTTATTGGTCAATACAGGTCTCTGCTGTGTTAAACCCACTCCAGGCCCTCTCTCCTCCCTCCCTACGACTTACGTCGCTGGGAGGAGCTGAGTTAGGGAGGGGGGATAGTTACACCGGGCTGCGCCGCTCACCAAAATACGAAATTGTGCTTGGGAACGCCTTGTCGGCGCAGCGGACCTGACTTACCTGTGGCACGTCCCTGGCGAGGCATGAAAATAGAGCCTTTGAAGTTACTCCCAACTGTTCGGCCTGTAATGGCCTTGCTTCCAAACTTTTGGCCTGTAGTATGTGTGTATATATATATATATATATTAAGGCTGTCAAAGTTAACGTGTTATTATCGCGTTAACGCGAGTGACTTTTATCGCCACTAATTTTTTTGACGCACGATTAATGCAAGCCTTAGACTGACTTGACTAAACTACACACACACTGCGTGGATATTCTTGACGTTGTAAAAGGGTAGAGCAACAGTTGGTGTGTCCAGGCTATATGAGCCTCGGGGCACTCCGTAGTTTCGCCAATCAGGAAGTAGTGCACTGACTGATACCACAGCAGACATAAACGAATCCACGTGAGCATACAACTAGGATACAATGAATAAGAACACTATTTTGAACGGAAAGTTCTGCTACAAAGTCTTGCCAGATGGATCTGTTGACAGGACAAAAGTAATTTGTGTTTCCTGCAGAGCCGAATTTAGTTACCACCGGAGTACGTCCAGCCTTAAATATCACTTGTCGGCCAAGCACACAGCTGATGCGGAGAGCCCCGCGCCCCCCCGCCTCAAGCAAACAACACTGAATATACAAGGTAAACAGATGGAGAGGTCTACGAAACGCAAACTTGAAACAGCAATAGCTAAATGGGTGGCTACCACTTGTCGACCGATTAGTATTGTGCAGGACGTTGGACTTCGTGAAATCATACGGATCACGTCCAATGACTGGACATATGAACTACCTTGTAGGACCACCATTACCACGAAAATCCACAATCTGTTTGACAACGAGAAGGCTAAAGTGTCGGAGGCTTCGGGGAAGACGAGCACAGTTGCGCTCACTGGAGACTATTGGACTTCACTCAGTAATCATAGTTACCTCGGGGTTACAGCTCATTATTTTGAACAGCAGTGGGAACTTCAGTCACACGCGTTGACTGTTATGAAGACAGAGGAGAGGCACTTCGCCGACACATGCGCGGAGCACTTCATGCATGTAGCTGGAGAATGGGACATTGAAGGTAAAGTCAGCACACTGACCACCGACAGTGCACGCAACATGATCGCAGCGTCCAAGCAACTCCCGTTTGAACACATGACTTGTGCAGCACATCTCCTCCAACGGGCCATCACTGTGTCCCTGCAGCACAGCCCATTTGATAGTGCACTGGCGAAATGCAGGAAGGTGGTGGGCCATTTCAAGCACAGTGCACCGAATGCAGCAGAGCTTGAGAAAATGCAAGATGCAAGGAAGAAACCTAAAGAGGCTCTCACACAGGACGTTTCAACTCGATGGAACAGTACCTTGGAGATGATCAGGTCTATTCTGAGAAATCAAGAACCACTGAGAGATGCCCTTGCCCTCCATCCAACCAAGGTGACAATGCCAACAGCAGCTGAGCTGGATAAACTGCAGAAGTTGGAGACAGTCCTGGAACCCTGCAGGTGAATTATTGATACTCTAATTGACATTATGTTTGTTTCTGTGTGTGTGTGTGTGTGTGTGTGTGTGTGTGTGTGTGTGTGTGTGTGTGTGTGAGAGAGAGAGAGAGAGAGAGAGAGAGAGAGAGAGAGAGGTAGGGAGGGTGGGGGGTCCTCAGCCCTTGTATGGGTGAGTTTGCAACTTTATCATTCCCTTATTATTGCAGGTACGTAACAGAGCTTCTCGGAGGAGAGAACTTTGTATCCTGTTCAGCTGTGCTGCCAGCCTTGAGCCATCTGTCACGAGTCATGGAGGTCTCTGAGGATGACCCAGCATACATGGCTAAGTTCAAAGAGACCTTCACAGCAGACCTGGAGCAAGGCAAGGAAAAAACAAACTTGCCATGGCTGAAGGTTGCGACAGCCCTGGACCCTAGGTTTAAGGACCTCAAGTGTCTGAGCAAACCTGAGAGGGCTGAGGTGTGGCGTTCCATTACTGACTTGCTCAAGGAGGAGAGGCCTGCACAACCAGAACAACCAACGGTGTCTGTGCCACTAAAGAAAAGATTAGCGCTCATGTTTGAGTCTTCATCTGACGAGGAGGAGGACTACCTTGAGAGATGTCTGGAGCGCTACAGGGCAGAGCCCACCATTGACATGGAGGACTGTCCACAGCAGTGGTGGGCTGACCATGAAGGAGCACACAGCATGATGGCCGGCCTTGCGCGCAAATACTTGGCAACACCTGCCACCTCGGTGCCATGCGAAAGGTTGTTTTCACTGTCTGGGCATGTTGTCAATAAGAAGAGAGCCTCACTGGCTTCTGAAAATGTCAACAAGCTTGTCTGCTTGAGCAATTGGCTCAGAGCAAAGAAATAAGTGTTCTGTTCAAACAAGAGAAGAAATGTAGGCTGATGTTAAGTTTATTTTGTCTGATAAAAAGAGGAAGTGGAGGTTGATACTTGATAGAAGCTGCTGTTTCTTTCATCTGTTGAAAAAGAGAAGATGTTCTGTCTGTTAAAAAGAGAAGGTGGAGCTGATATATTTTGGAGATGGAGGCTGGGTTGTTCAGCCTCTGCTGAATACAACATAACAGCTGTTTATAGGCTATAGCCTGACTGCACTATCATTTGAGTCCTGTTTTGCTCCCCCTGTCTCATGCACACTTTATTCATTGTGTTAGTAACTGAAGCTTTTTCGTGCATCACTCTAGTTTGTTTTGATTTTGGTGCAAATGTGCAATGCATTCTTTGGTGTTAAAAGGCAGCTACAAACAAAGAAATGGATGAATGGTTAAACTGTGAAGTTCAACACACTACTGTGTTCGTGTTAGTAATCATTACTATGTAATGTACAGTTAGTAAATTGTTTGATCTGTAATTTTTATTGTTGGGCTTTTTTGTTTTACAATGAAGTTTGCACAGTAGTTTATTAAAGACAGTGTTTTTCATTGTGGCAACAAATAAACATGCGTTTTTTGGCATGAAGCAAGAATTTGTCTATTCTCATGTTGATAAACGTATTACAATTTGAAAAAGGTCGATTTAGAATGGATAAAAAATATGCGATCAATTTGCGATTATTAATCGTGATTAATTTTGATCAAAATTCGATTAATCGCGATTAAATATTTTAATCGATTGACAGCCCTAATATATATATATATATACAGTATATATATATATATATATATATATATGTATCCATGTATCCATGTATCCACACACACACACACACACACACACACACACACACACACACAATATATGTATATATATATATATATATATGTAGTGGTATGAGGCACCACGGCCTCAAGCTCGGCTCTGTTTGCCTCTTCCAAGCTCTTAGCCAATCACGGTGCAGACAGAGGATATAAAAGTAGGCTGCGCTCCTCCCCCTGACCTCTCGCTTCCTGCCTCTTCGGCCCGCCCACTTCCGGGTCGTTGCCCATGCTGCTCACCTCGGAGCACAGGTAGGCTCACCTTGGCGTGTGATTTGTGCACATTCGTCTGAGTTTTATTTAACCTAAACCGTCGTTGGTTGATAGATCTGGCATTTGGCGTCTGGGGACGATACGGTCGGGTGCATTCACCGCTGTCATCCAAGCCTAGGTGAGTTATGGCGAGCTACCTTTGTTTGTTGTTGTTAGCCAGGTGCTAAGCCCTTTTCCGCTTCTCCCCTCATAGTTGGCTGTCTCATAGTGCAGTGCGTGGCTGTCTCTGCCTGCTGTGCAGCCTTTCTTCACCCCTCTCCCTCTTGGACGGGACTAAAACTCACGGCGGATGAACCGGACTTTGCAGACACTGAAAGCTAAGTACGATTATGGCTGGTTAGCCCCCGGCTACCTGGATACTGCTGCTGCTGCTGCTGCTGCTGCTGTTGCTTCGCTGCCGCTTTGCTGCCGTTATTAAACGCCTCCGCTGCTTCCGCTGTTTGCCGGCCTGCTTCGGGGTGCGGTCGGCTGCCTCACGCCGACTCCCCTTTGTTGACTTTGTCCCCCAGCAGCCGTGCGAGGTGCGGAGCGAGTGTGTTACCCGGGTGGACGCGACTGCGAGTCCCCGGTTCGGACTGTGTGTGAGCATGTGTGTTTGACTTTTTAAAGGCACTCTGTGAAGTTCGCTCATTCATTTCGTTTTGTTCTTTTTGGGTAATTTCTTGGTTTGGTTGTTTTATTTATTTGTTTTGTTTAAGTGATTTGTTAATTTTTTGGAAACGTACTTATTATACTTTAATGGGTAATGTTTTAGTTGGAGATCCTTTTTGTTAGTGCTTTGAATTAATTAATTTTTGGTTTTCTGAGTTTATCTCTGGCCAGAGAGTCGTAATTTGTTTCCTTTGTTTGATTTCTGATTCATTTTGAACATTATTACCCAGTTAAATTGATTAGTTATTGATTTGGTTATGTTTTGGTGTGTTTTCTTTATGAGTCCCTTGCCCTAATTGTGTTTCTTTTCCCCCTACAGAGCTGACGGCCAACGGTGGTGGTGGTGGTCCTCCAAGGTGGTGGTGATCCCTGAGTGTGTGCGTTTTATTTGACTCCCCGTTTGAAGATTTATTTGTGTGCACCTTATGTTTGCTGTGAGTGGGGTGTTCTCCTTTCTTTGGACGTCACCAGTTTTAACCCCTCCTCTAGCCCGTACGCCTCAGCCTGTATCCCTGTTTCAGTTGGGCTCCGTTATTATCATATTTTGCATCTTATTAATTATGTTGACCTTTTATTAATAAATTTTGTACGTTGATTATTGATTCTCGTCTCCTGCCTCCCTGGTTGAACGAACCTGAGTGCCTCAGATAACTAGGTAATTGACCTTTAGATACGGGTCCTTGGGCCCCCTCCCAAGGTGGCGTTGTTGGGCAAACAAACTGTTAAAATATATCTCGTGCTGCCACAAACCTGGCGTTGTCGGCAGGATTAACTCAGTGGAGGTGGAGACGTGTGTCTTATGTTTAATCATTTTAGTTTTTTTTTGGTTTTCAGATTGCCAAGTGTGTGTGTGAGTGTGAATGTGAATGAACGGCAGCTTCAGGCGAGCCAGCAGAGACAGTTTTTTTTTGGTAGCGTTAACATTTACAGCTTAGTGTAGCTTTCAGAAATGGAGGGAGAGTTGCAAGAGTTGAGAGACTTGGTGGCACAGCTGCGGGCAGAGAATGACAGGTTACAGCAGGAACAGGCTTCACCCGTGCCTGGTCCTAGTGCTGCACCACCCATTCCTGCTGAACCTCGTCCAGCACCATCCTCTTCTGTCGCTCCTGTAACAGAGCGACTGGTCCTCGTGCCCAGAGACAGGAAGTGTCCTGTGTTTAGGGGTAGGTCAGGTATAGGACTAGAGGAGTGGATCGAGGAAACTCAGGCCTGCATTAGATCCCGTCACCTGTCCAACGCTGATCAAGCATTTTTTCTCTTTGACCATCTAGAGGGAGAGGCGCGTGAAGAAATAAAAATATCGTCCGGCCACAGATCGAAGTGATCCAGCTAAAATCCTTGCGGTCTTGCGAGAACTATATGGCTGTGCTGATTCGTATGTTGCTCTACAAGAGGCGTTCTTCTCGAGGCGACAGAAGGAAGGGGAGACTCTTCACAAGTTTTCCCTCGCCCTGATGAGCTTGATGTCAGCGGTGAAACAAAGTGCTCCAAGCGAGATGCCAAATGCAGATGTTTTGTTGCGTGATCAATTTATTGAAAACGTTGTTGACGGTTCCCTTCGCCGAGAGTTAAAGCAACTCACACGCAGGCAGCCTACCATCTCCCTGTTAGATGCTAGGGCAGAGGCCATTAGGTGGGAGCGAGAGGGATTGCCAGGGGGTGTGCGGGGCCGAAGCCACTCTGTTCCTTCGTTGATGGGCTTGCAGTGCGGTGTTCAGACTGCTCCTTTCGTGGCTAGTCCACCCCAGGCTTCAGAGTTGCAGGAGGTGAAACATATGCTGAGGCTCCAACAGGAACAGCTTAGCCGTCTCACCGAAAGTCTTGCTCAGCTGCAGACCAATCAGCAGCGTAACAATTCTTCTCACCGTGGTCCGGTGATTTGCCGGCGGTGTCATCAGCCTGGCCATTTTGCCAGGGAATGCAGAGGGGAGCATGCGCCTCCTCCACCTTCAGGGTCTGCTTCCTTCCGGCCAGCCTCTCGGCGGGACCCGGCTCAGCGTTCGGAAAACTAGCGCCCGTCGAACTGCGGAGCCAAAGTTCGGGGGGAGCTGCCACCGGCTCACCAGAAGATATGGTAATGGATTGGGGAAGAGACTAAGTTGATCAGCGCTTGTCCACATATGGACGTGGTTATGGGGGGTGTAACCGTGCCTTGCCTCGTGGACACCGGGTCCATGGTGTCCACTATTAGAGAGAGCCTTTTTCCAGCAACACTTTGAGATTTGGGGCCAAGAAAAACTTAAGTCCTGCCATTGGCTCCAGCTTCAAGCGGCCAATGGGTTACCCATTCCATATCTTGGCTACTTAGAGCTGGAAGTCGAGCTCTGTGGTCGGACTTTGCCAGGGTGTGGGCTGCTGGTCGTCAAGGACCCCCCAACTGCTGCGTCTCCTCCTGCCCCGGGTGTCTTGGGGATGAACATCCTGAGAAGGTGTTACAGCACCCTATTTGGGCAACATGGTGCTGCCCTTTTCAACTTGCCCACCGTCGCCGAAGCACCAAAGCCTGTGGTGCAGGCATTGCAGAGATGCCATCAAGCTTCTCTGACCTCCCCTTCTGCCATTAGTGGCAAGGTCAAGCTGCGAGGAAAGAAAGCGTGTCGTATCGCCGGTGGCACTATGCAGCTGGTTCCAGCCACCTGTTCTGCCCAGTACTCGGGGAGAACTGTGCTGGTCGAGCCCTCAGATCAGGGCCTTCCTGCTGGCCTGCTGGCATCCCCAGCACTGGTTCAAGTGGAGGGAGGTACTGTGTACATACCTGTGGTCAACGTGGGTACTTCTGATGTGTTGCTTTACCCCCGAACAACGGTTGGTGCTTTGTGTGAGGTCTCCGTGGTGAGCCTACCTTCTGGGGTTAAGGAGGTTCCATCCTACATGGCTACGGTGGCATCTCAGGCTGTGGTTTCTACGCTGCAAAATCAAATCGATGCAGTTGATTTGTCTGCTTTGTCACTTGAAGAGCAACAGGAAGCCCGACTTCTGCTTTGGAAATATGCATCTGTCTTCTCCTCTCATGACAGTGACTTAGGCTGCACTGACCTGATCACACATGAAATCCCTCTTCTTGACGACACTCCCATCCGTCAGCGCTACCGGCGTATTCCGCCATCAGAATACGAAACGGTGAAAGAACACATCAATCAGTTGCTTGGTGCGCAGGTCATCCGAGAAAGCTGCAGCCCTTTTGCGTCCCCAATTGTGTTGATTAAAAAGAAAGATGGAAGTCTGCGCTTGTGCGTCGACTACCGACAGCTGAACAGCCGGACGAGAAAGGACGCGTTCCCTCTCCCACGGATTGAGGAATCGCTGGATGCACTCACTGGAGCCCGCTGGTTTTCCACTATGGATTTAGCCAGCGGCTACAATCAGGTTCCGGTGGCAGAGGCCGACCGACCCAAGACTGCTTTTTGTACTCTGTTCGGACTTTTCGAATGGAATCGGATGCCGTTCGGGTTGTGCAATGCACCTAGCACCTTCCAGCGACTCATGCAACGGATTTTCGGAGACCAGCAATGTCAGTCGTTGCTCTTGTATCTTGATGACATTGTGGTCTTTTCCTCCACAGTTCAACAACATCTTCAGAGATTGGAAGTGGTGCTGCAGCGGCTACAACATGAAGGTCTGAAAGCGAAGTTGTCAAAGTGCTCATTCTTCCAACAGCAAGTGCTGTACTTGGGCCACATCATTTCGGCTGAAGGAGTTTCCACCGACCCAAGTAAGGTCGAAGTGGTAGCCAATTGGCAGCCTCCCACCACCATCTTGCAGCTGCGGTCATTCCTTGGGTTCGCAAGCTACTATCGGCGTTTCTTGGAGGGCTTTGCCAAGTTGGCTGCCCCTTTACATCGCCTTGTCGGGGAACTCGGAGCGTCAAAGCCCCGACGGTCTGGACAGCAAGTGGCGGAAAAGTGGACGAGTGAACATCAGCGGAACTTTGAAGCTTTAAAATCTAAGCTTACTACGGCACCTGTGTTGGCCTACGCTGACTTTTCCCTTCCTTTCATTTTGGAAGTGGATGCGAGCCATGGGGGCCTTGGCGCTGTGCTCTCGCAGGAGCAGGGAGGGAAGGTCCGGCCTATCGCATTTGCTAGCCGAAGTCTGAGGCCCACCGAACGTAACCCCGCCAATTACAGCTCCATGAAGCTGGAGTTTTTGGCACTAAAGTGGGCTATGGCTGACAAATTCCGGGAGTACTTGCTTGGTCACAAATGCATTGTCTTCACAGACAATAATCCACTTAGCCACCTGTCATCGGCTAAACTTGGTGCTCTTGAACAGCGTTGGGCAGCCCAACTCGCGTCATTCGACTTTGAGATTCGTTACCGCTCTGGTAAGAGTAACATCAATGCAGACGCTCTGTCCCGCTTGCATTCACCTCAACCGGTAGATCTTGGCACGATCATCTCCGGTACGCAGCTCCTCCAGCCCTTGAAGCAAGCTCTCCAACCAAAAAGGCTGCTGTCCATGCTTTGCCTCAGCATCTGCCTGCAGACATTGGAAACCTGCAGCGAGTTGATCCTGTGACCCAGGAAGTCCTTTCGTTCTGGCAGCAGAAACTTTATCCAAATCATGCGGAACGTAAACGGCTGTCCCCCACAGCTCTGGTGCTCCTCAAGCAGTGGGGGCGATTGAGTGAGCAGGCTGGAGTTGTGTACCGGCAAGTCTCTCGTGCAGACGGAGGAGAAGTGGCTCTCCAGGTGCTGCTGCTCGAGGTGCTGAAGGAAAAAGTCCTCACCGAGCTGCACCAAAATCATGGCCACCAGGGGGTGGGCAGGACTCTGGATTTGCTTAGGCAGCGGTGCTATTGGTCGGGGATGTCAGCAGATGTGCGGCGCTGGTGTCAGAGTTGTGAGCGATGCCAAGTGGCTAAGGACCCTGGACCCCCAGTCCGTAGCTTTATGGGACATCTGCTTGCTTCGGAACCTAACGAGATCCTGGCGATGGATTTCACTGTCCTCGAACCAACCCATAACGGGCTGGAGAATGTCCTTGTGCTGACGGATGTCTTCAGTAAATACACTCTTGCTATTCCCACCCGTGACCAGCGTGCCTCTACAGTGGCACAGGTGCTTGTCACAGAGTGGTTTTCCAAGTTTGGCGTTCCAGCACGCATTCATTCCGATCAGGGTCGCAATTTCGAAAGTGTACTCATCCAGCAGCTGTGTGGTTTGTACAACATTGAAAAATCTCGCACCACACCATACCACCCTGCAGGTAATGGTCAGTGCGAGCGTTTCAATCGCACCCTCCATGATTTGTTGCGCACTTTGCCTCCCTCTCGCAAACGTTAATGGCACTCTTGCATCCCTCAGGTATTATATGCCTATAATACCACACCGCATCAGTCCACCGGGGAGTCGCCATTCTTTCTCATGTTTGGTCGTGAGGCAAGGCTCCCGGTTGATTTCTTGCTGGGAAGGGTGCAGGACCCTGTTGATAGGAATGTAAGCGACTGGGTTTGGGAACATCAAACCCGGCTGCACTTGGCTTTCGAGGGCGTTCGGGACAGGTTGAGGGAGGTAGCCCAACATCGAAAGGAAAATCATGACCAATCTGTCCGGTCAGAACCACTCGCTGTAGGCCAGTTAGTTCGGCGAAAGGAGTTCGGCTGGAAGGGCCGCCACAAGATCAAGGACAGGTGGAATCCGGTGGTGTATCAGGTGATTAAAGCTCCCCCCGGCAATGGCGCGGTGTATACAATTGCACCCGAGGACGATCTGGCTAATGTCAAGCAGGTCCATCGAACATTGCTCAAAGCTGTAGTCGGGAGAGCTGCCTCTGGCGACAACCTAACTCCGTTTCCTGTCCCCCTTGACCGGCGTGCAAGGTCTCCGAGCTCATCTGATGATGAGGACTTGATGGAGGTGGTGAGGGACCCCATCCGCCTTACAGCTGGTCCTGCGACTGGAGTTCAACCGGCCCTTCCCTCAGTGGTACCGGTTATTCCGACCGTCCCGTCGCCCTCGGCTCTTTTGGCCTCTTTGCCTGCCCCCTCTTTTGGGAGTAGTGACACCGCTGTGCTATGTACGGCACCATTACCCTCTGTACCTCCGGCCCCTTTGCCCGTGTGGCCACCTTCTGCCAGCGCTGCTCCCTTACCGGTCCCTCCTTCAGGGAGTGATGGAGTTGTCAGACGACGGACAGCCCGATCTACAGCTGGCCACCATTCAAATCTTCATCATCTACCTAGGCCGGTCAACGAGGCAGCCCAAGCTGGGCCTCCAGCCGTGCAGTTAAACTCTGTGTCTGCTTTCTTTAGGCCGTGGTCTTAGGGTGAGATTCTTCAAGAGCATCGTCGGGCCGACGATGAAAATCGGGGGGGTGGATTGTAGTGGTATGAGGCACCACGGCCTCAAGCTCGGCTCTGTTTGCCTCTTCCAAGCTCTTAGCCAATCACGGTGCAGACAGAGGATATAAAAGTAGGCTGCGTTCCTCCCCCTGACCTCTCGCTTCCTGCCTCTTCGGCCCGCCCACTTCCGGGTCGTTGCCCATGCTGCTCACCTCGGAGCACAGGTAGGCTCACCTTGGCGTGTGATTTGTGCACATTCGTCTGAGTTTTATTTAACCTAAACCGTCGTTGGTTGATAGATCTGGCATTTGGCGTCTGGGGACGATACGGTCGGGTGCATTCACCGCTGTCATCCAAGCCTAGGTGAGTTATGGCGAGCTACCTTTGTTTGTTGTTGTTAGCCAGGTGCTAAGCCCTTTTCCGCTTCTCCCCTCATAGTTGGCTGTCTCATAGTGCAGTGCGTGGCTGTCTCCGCCTGCTGTGCAGCCTTTCTTCACCCCTCTCCCTCTTGGACGGGACTAAAACTCACGGCGGATGAACCGGACTTTGCAGACACTGAAAGCTAAGTACGATTATGGCTGGTTAGCCCCCGGCTACCTGGATACTGCTGCTGTGCTGCTGCTGTTGCTTCGCTGCCGCTTTGCTGCCGTTATTAAACGCCTCCGCTGCTTCCGCTGTTTGCCGGCCTGCTTCGGGGTGCGGTCGGCTGCCTCACGCCGACTCCCCTTTGTTGACTTTGTCCCCCAGCAGCCGTGCGAGGTGCGGAGCGAGTGTGTTACCCGGGTGGACGCGACTGCGAGTCCCCGGTTCGGACTGTGTGTGAGCATGTGTGTTTGACTTTTTAAAGGCACTCTGTGAAGGTCGCTCATTCATTTCGTTTTGTTCTTTTTGGGTAATTTCTTGGTTTGGTTGTTTTATTTATTTGTTTTGTTTAAGTGATTTGTTTATTTTTTGGAAACGTACTTATTATACTTTAATGGGTAATGTTTTAGTTGGAGATCCTTTTTGTTAGTGCTTTGAATGAATTAATTTTTGGTTTTCTGAGTTTATCTCTGGCCAGAGAGTCGTAATTTGTTTCCTTTGTTTGATTTCTGATTCATTTTGAACATTATTACCCAGTTAAATTGATTAGTTATTGATTTGGTTATGTTTTGGTGTGTTTTCTTTATGAGTCCCTTGCCCTAATTGTGTTTCTCAGAGCTGACGGCCAACGGTGGTGGTGGTGGTCCTCCAAGGTGGTGGTGATCCCTGAGTGTGTGCGTTTTATTTGACTCCCCGTTTGAAGATTTATTTGTGTGCACCTTATGTTTGCTGTGAGTGGGGTGTTCTCTTTTCTTTGGACGTCACCAGTTTTGACCCCTCCTCTAGCCCGTACGCCTCAGCCTGTATCCCTGTTTCAGTTGGGCTCCGTTATTATCATATTTTGCATCTTATTAATTATGTTGACCTTTTATTAATAAATTTTGTACGTTGATTATTGATTCTCGTCTCCTGCCTCCCTGGTTGAACAAACCTGAGTGCCTCAGATAACTAGGTAATTGACCTTTAAATACGGGTCCTTGGGCCCCCTCCCAAGGTGGCGTTGTTGGGCAAACAAACTGGTAAAATATATCTCGTGCCGCCACATATATTATATATATATATATATATATATATATATATCATATATATGCTATATATTGTAGCATCACAAGGGGGCGTGTTGTCAAAGGACGCTACATACCCTGGGGTAACCAGCAGCATCCAAGATGGCCGCTGCTGGACACCCAAAATGGCTGCTGCTGGAGTTCCAAAATGGCCGCCAGGTCAAAAAAATACAAATCCCAACCTGCAACCCAACCTGGACAGCTGCAGGTATTAAAGGCAGCTGCTTGCCAGCAGAGGAGAAGAAGCTGGTTTGGGAGCAAAGAAAGGAAGGCTGAACACCCGCTGGAGGAGAAAAAAAGAAGCGGAGAATCATTAAGAGGGACAGACCGGAAGAGAGAAACCCTGAAGTTTAGTTGTTTATTTTTGAGGAAATTGTGGTTGAAATAAAAACCTCCTTTTTGTTTACATTCACCGCTGGATCTGGGAGTCATTTCACACTGGCCCACACCTCGCCTGCTCTTTAAATCTCTCATGATGCTACAATATGTGTATATATATATATATATATGTACACACATACACACACACACACACAAACACACGGAGAACAGCATGCCGTGACCATCACAGTAGCAGACATCCAAGAAAAATTCTCATGGTACGAAGAACTGGACAGCACCAGGCCTGGCCTGGATATGATCCATACCTACCAGATGACCCAACTGCTGAGAGATGGGACCAACCCAGAATGGCTGACCAAAAGGCAAGAAAGTCCTGATTCAGAAAGATCCCCAGTCCACAGTCCCATCCAACTATCGGCCGATCACCTGCCTCTCCACAACATGAAAACTCCTGCCAAGCATCATTGCGGCTGAGATAAGTGGGCACATGGATCAATACATGACAGAGGCACCGAAAGGCATTGATAAGAACACCAGAGGAGCAAAATACCAGATACTGGTAGACAGAACAGTTTCATTGAGACTGCAGAACCAGACAGACCAATCGGTGCACTGCCTGGATTGATTACAGGAAAGCCTATGACTCAATGCAAATGGCAACCACAAAGAAGTCACAACGAAAGCAGCAATGGCCAAGTACCTGTAGTGAGTAAGGCAGATCCTAAAGAGTCAGCTCAATGGCAGAAACAAAGTTTGGGCATTTAACAGCTATGCCCTGCCAGTGATCAGATACTGGCAGGAAAAGCACACATGGAACGCCATAACCAAATAGCCGGTGTAGTGTTCAGGAACATCTGTGCAGAATATGGACTGGAAACCCTGAGGTCAAAATGGGAAGCACCTCCCAAGGTGACGGAAAATGACTGAGCCAAGATCCTGTGGGACTTTCAGATACAGACCATCAGGAAGAAGGAACTCGAGAAACTAGACAAGCACCAAGGCTCAAAGAGGAGCTAGAGAAAGCCTGAAAGCGGAAGGCAACAGTGGTGCCTGTGGTCATCGGGGCACTTGGGGCAGTAACCCCCACACTGGAGAAGTGGCTCCAACAGATCCCTGGGGTAACATCAGACATCTCACTCCAGTAGTGATGGACATGGCAGTTCTTTTACATGTACTAAATCACTAGAATCAGTTCACTAAAAAAGATTTGTTCAAAAGATTTGTTCATCAAATCTGATACACAGCTGAACGTTTCAGGATTCAGTTCAGTTCATAGCTTCTGGGACCGGGAGACGAGAGTGTTTGGCTGTGTTGCTTTGGCAAACAGATTTGTGAAAATGAACTTGTTTATAAGTCGTGATGTTTTAAGTGTACTGTCTTATGGTATGCTATTTACCAGGTCTGCTCGGTAAAGTGGGGTCAGTGAGTGATCTGTTCACTGAATGTTTAGAAGAATTCACACTGAACATGCACAGTTCCCTCGAAAACTGTTGCAATGATAGGATGCTGCGGGTTAAATGCACTACTTGTTAAATGCTGTGTACTATTGTATGCAAGTTGTTGTGGTGGCAATTTAGCAGTGAAAAAAAAGGTAGTTTTGTCTGACAAAAATGATTTCAGAGTTACTTTCCTGACCAGCAAACAAGCTGTTCTCTCTGAGATTTTACTTGGTCTTCCAGATCTCATCTTGACCTCCACAGTTCCCCTCACCTGCCATCTCTTAATTACACCTCGCACTGTGGAAACTGCAAGCTGGAAGCGCTTTGCTATCTTCTTGTAGCCCTCCCCTTGTGGGCATCAATAACTTACACAGCTTCTTAGAGGAACCCATGGTTGCTGGATGAATGCACAAGGTTTGTGGAATTGAAACCCCTTAAATTGTCACCAGCTGGCGCTCCCCGATGAGAATTGTTGATACCTGCTGCAGGACTTACGAGCTGGTGAAAGTCTGAGCTTCTAAAAAGAATCTTTAAAGACCAGACACTTTAAAGCTCTCAGGGTGCCCTGACATTTGCACATGCCAAAAAGATGATTTTTATTTTTCTTAATTTGTACTTTTTATAAAATAAAAAGTAACTGTGCATTAATGATTTCTGATAATATTGTCTTTTTTCCTATTTACCAGAGAAACTATAAATATCAAGGTTAATTTTTTAATAAATAAACTTTTACTTACAACTTTATATATATAAACTTTTACTTACAACTATATATATATATATATATAGTTGTAAGTAAAAGTTTATTTTATATATATATATATATATATTTATATGTATATATATACACACACACACACACACACACACACACACACACACACACACACACATAAATATACAGTCTATGGTGTTTGCTGACCTTTACCAGTCTACAATTCAGAGCAGGGACCCAGTCTTAGCCCGCTGACTGCCACAGTGTCCCTCCTGCCTGTTTTTATACAAGACTTGGAGTTCAACATTTCTGAATTTTTAACTAAAAGATATTTTAGTTCACATTTACAAACAAGTCAAGTCAAACTTTATCTAGCACATTCATTTACATTGCTCAAATGTCATCAGACGTGATCCTTTTTACAGTATATCACCTGGTCATAGTCAGGGCTCTCCAGTTTTCAGAGGCTGGACTGAAGTCACACAACACCATTACATCTCATCAGCTCTTTTTCTCCTGAATTTGTTATCTAGAAAAAATTCAAAATGATGAACAGAACCAGTACTGTAATCATTAAAATCGTGTGTGTGTGTGTGTGTGTGTGTGTGTGAGAGAGAGATACTATTATTGATTTAGTGATCATTAGTAACCATTTGAAGATCCCTAAAACAGTGAGATTTCTGCTGTGCATTTGAGCATCATGACTTCTGATGTGGTCTATCACTTTCTAAATGTGTTACTCATAGACCATGAAGTCTTTCATAGTATTGGTCTTCGAGGGATTTTGACTGCTACTGTTAATCAACCCTGACTGCTGTGTGTGTGTGTGCGTGTGTGTGTGTGTGCGTGTGTGTGTGTGTGTGCGTGCGTGTGTGTGTGTGTGTGTGTGTGTGTGTGTGAAAGAAGAGGTGAGGCTCAGTGAAAAACCATCTCTGGTTATTTTAAGGAAGATGTGGTTAAATGGGTGGGTTACCGGGCGGGTGGGGACACACAGAGTAGTATGAAGAAAGACCTGGGGCAATGGTTGGTCTACAGTTTGGTGACAGCTGGGATCAACACAGCACTGCAGGTACACACTGTCTCTTACTTAAACTCAACAGCTTTAATGTAAAAGAAGTCTTACTGTGAAGTTTTCATAACAAATGTCATGTACTGTGCTATTACATTCAAAACTGAGCCTTTTAAGTTGATTCTAACAATCTATGACTTATTTTATAATGTTACACTAGAAGAAAGAGTCAATACACAGAGAGTTTATGCTGTTAATGCCTGGATTACTAACTGTCCATGAGCAAGCAGCTGTGGGAATTGTGTAGCATACTGTGTTTAAAGGGATGTTTTTGTATTTCTAAAGTGGGGTTGTATGAGTAAGTGTTTTAGTCACAGTAGATGTCAGTCAGCCGGGCTCTCCTTTGATATGAAAGTGCCAGGAGCACCTGCATGCAAGTTAGGCTACAGTTTTCTGCAGATGGGGTGACTCTGCCAAATAGTTTAGCTAATTCAGAGAGACTCTGATCTAAAGACTCATCTCAGCTGAACTCTGACTCTGGAGATGCTCGAAAATTCAGCTTTTCTGATTGTACTCCTGAATGTTGAAGAAAATGGGTGAAAAACAGTGTTCGGTCTTCAGTACAGCAGTAGGCAGTCCTCGAAATGGCCTGCTGATGCATCCACCGATAACACTGCAGTCAACAAGTGTCAGCCATTTTCTCCCCAACAAAAGCAGCTTTATGACTTAATTGGCTTTATGACTTTATTCTCAAAAATGTATGACTTTATTCTTCGAAGGTAACAACTTTATTCTTATAAATTAATAACTTTATTCTTGTTAATTTATGACTTTACTCTTGTAAGTTTACGGCTTTAATCTCATAAGTTTACAACTTAATTTTCATAAATTTATGACTTTATTCTGGTAAATTTTTGACTTTATTCTCAAAAATTTATGAATTTATTCTCAAAAATGTATGACTTTATTGTATTTAATTTATGACTTTATTCTTGTAAGTTAATGATTTTATTCTCATAAATTTTTGACTTTCTTCTTGTAAGTTTACAACCTAATTCTCATAAATATATATCATTTTCTCATGAATTTATGACTTTAACCTCTTAGTCTTTAAAACATTTTTTTTCTCAATGTGGTTTTAATCCTGTGTCATAGTATAGCATTTATCCTCTTTTAATTTACACCTAAAAGTTAGTGTTTTTAATCGTGTTAAACCCTTATAAAATACCATGTGATTGACAGGTGTGGCAGTGAGTTATCTCTGTTGTAAGAGGACATTGTTTGTGAAACATGCATAGTTGAAGTAGACATCCCCTGTTCCTCTTTTTTTGACTGCATGTTTCCTGACCTGCCTAACACCCTTATTCTCTGTGTTGCCTTCTGCTTTTCTTCTCACTTTTCTTTTTTCTGTTCAACAGACCTGACAAGGACTGAGGAATCATCCATCAGGCCAAATGAGTAAAATTTCCACCGTGAGCCCAGCACTTGCAAATCCTACCAATGCTAACAATGATAAATGTGTCATGATGAGAGACAAGGAGTCTCATGTTTATTCAGAAATCTGCATAGCAAATAAAATCAGTCCTGGAAACATTATAACACAGAGACAGGAGCATACAGAGAGTGTTTCCTTGCCTTCTGATGTCCTCCCACCTCTTCCTCAGCAGAGGTGGTCTGCAGACCTTGGCAAGAGTGATAAAACCCGCAGGATCTCAATTGTGGAGAAGAAGAAAGAACCACACTCTCAGCATGGGAGGTCTCTGCCTCCACCTCATTCAGCAGTCCACTCTTCCTTGAAACGATACTCCTGCCCCACCATCAAGGTCTTCAGCTTCCCAACCCGTACATCTTCCTCCTCCCCCTCCACCCAATCCTGCCCCCCTACTCCTGTCCAGACCTCTGTCATCACTGGCCATGACCCTCTGGGCTGGAAGCTACAACCAAAGTCCAGCTCCACCTCTTGTAGGGCTCGCAGCAAGAGGCTTTCTCTACAAATTCCCCTTCCTGTCATATTTCCTGAGCCAAAATCTAGTCCTGCACTGAATTTTCATCCAGACAAAACTCAAAGTCCAGATTCCTTGGTTAAAGCTAAGCCCCCTCTCAGGCCCAAACCAAGGCGTTACCACTCTGAGTCCTCACCCCTCCTCTCTTCACTGAGCCCTGGACCTGTGGTGACACTCAAAGATCTCCTGGCGGTGCATCAGAACCCGGTCTCAATTTCTGATGGATCTGATGCTGTTTTTAGCGATGAGGAAGAGGAAATGACGGTGACTGGTCAACAGTGCAAACTACCACCACCTGTCCCAGAGAAAACGGACATGACAAGAGAAATTGCACGTCAGATTGCTCGTTCCCGATGTTGCTGGCTGAAATCCAGAAGCTCCATGGTTTAGACAGACTGGACCAATGCAGCCAGAATGAAACAGGAAAGCTATCATCAAAATAAAAGAATATCACTCTGTAAGGAGATCAGTGCAGCTATTATTCAGCCTAAGTCTATTACCTGTGAAGACAAAAGATGTACAGGGATGTTGGTTTAGTTCAGGGGTTAAAGTGCATACAGCTGAGGCTGCAGTGAAAGTGCCCTCTGGGATGCTTCTTTTGTGAATAAAATGCTTAAAAATTCTCTCTGGTGCTCTGTCCTTAGAATATGCATCAAAAACTGTAAATTATCTGCCCTTTAAAGGGATGAAACACCAGGATTAAAAAGGAACAGACTACTTGTTGGGTTACTTTAATCCAGGGAGTAAGTTTACCCAACCCAAGTTTTAGGTTGAATCAATAACCCGTTTTAAGGGTCAAATTAACCAACCTACAAGTTTATTCGACTCATAGTCCCAGGTTAAATGAAGGAATGCTTTTAACTTATGGGGAGCTTAAGTTTTTTCACCCTGGACCATGTTCTCACATCTACTTTTATCCAAATGAGTGGTCTGCTCAGAGAGCAGTGTGATGTGGCTGGTTCGTTGTGAGGACCCAGAAGCAGACACTGAGACTGAGATCAACTTTAAGAGAATTTTAATGTCCAACAAAAGGTTGTAAATGCAAACGAGGATGTCCGGTAGGCTGGTTGGCTGGCTGTCGTGTGGGCTGGAGACACTGCAGGAAAAACCAGAGGAGACAGGAGTTATTGAACATGAAAAGAGTCACGAGGAGCAAAGTTCTGGTACTGATACAAACGAGGTCGGCCAGGAGAAGCGTCTTTACCGCCAGGAAGGGTAGACAATATTCAGGCCCTGAGGCTGAGGGCTGGAGATGTGGAGCAGGTGTGTAGTCTCACTCAGCCTCAGCAACCGGGGGAGGGGCGGAAGCTCTGGAAGAGAGTGAAGCCAGACCAGGCAAACAAGGAAACACAGGAAGTCCAGCCAAAATAAAACAAGAGAGGGAGGCGTCTCACCACAAGCAGGGCAGAATCTGTGGGCATTTTAAGTAGGTTAGAGAAGAGAAAATTAGATAGAAAATGAGAGAGAGAAGGATTAAGCTAGTGTGAGGGTTATGGTGTTCATGAGAGCGATAGTGAGTGAAAGCAAGTCGTAGTGCGCGACTGAAAGAGTGACTGTTCTGGTGAATGATTTACTTGTGCTTGTGTGTGTGTTTAAGAAGTTAGTATAGTGATTTTGTGTCTGTTGTTGGTTTTGCTCTGTCTGTATTTGTTATTGTGCTTTGTGTATAGCATTTTACACACATTGTAGTTTTGAGTTTAGTTTAGGCAGAACAGGAGAGATAGTGGGGGGAGTAGATTAAAGAGATAGAGAGGCAAGGTTGTTGAAGAGAGGGACAGTCAAGGTGACAATGGATCCCAACATTTTTGAGGAAGTGCTGAACTACAAACTAAAAAATTAGTACCCTAAAGGTATCTTAAGCCTGCAACGGTTTATCATTAGGAGAAGAGCTGAGACCTTTAGGATAAAGGCTAAGACCGCATGCAACATTAACTAAAGAAAACTATGGTAATCTTGTGATACTGCTCCTATGTGAACATGGTATGGTATTGAAACACCAGATGGAGACCTCCACTACATCTGCAGACGCAGACAAAATAAGTCAGAGCACTTGGTTGGAGTGGTCTTGAGTGCAGAGGAGGCCAACTCCATATTTGAAGAGTTCCACTGCGGCCCTTTGGGTGGACACTAATGCAGAAAAAACTCACAGTACCATCATAGCAAGGTACTATTGGTGTGGCATGGAGCAGGACATACGCAAGTGGGTGAGTTTTTATCTTATCATATTACTTTGAACTACCAATCAGGGGTTTATTTTCGTGCCTCGCCGGCGATGTGGCGCATGCGCAGCGTAAGTCAGGTCCGCAGCGCCGACAGGCGTTCTCAAGCACAATTTGGTATTTTGGTGAACAGCGCAGCCCGGTGTAAGTATCCCCCCTCCCTAACTCAGCTCCTCCCAGCGGTGTAAGTCGTAGGGAGGAAGAGAGGGCGTGGAGTGGGTTTAACACAGCCGAGACCTGTATTGACCAATAACATCAGCTCCTCTCCTCGTCTTTAAAGGTGTATTACTATTTTCGTGAAGTAGTCAAAGAGATCAAGAGATGTCTGAAGACAGCAATGCCACACGATGGTGACAGAAGGCAGCCTCTAAACAAGTGTCACTATAAGCGCTTCAGGGGGCGCCCTTCACACTCTTTCATATGAGCACAGATGGATTTGGTGTGTGTAAGTTTGGACCCACTAGTAAGACAAACACCCTTTCCACAAATAAAGACAGTCATGTAAAGTTACACATATTCAAACCTCATGTGACAAAGGTGGGTTGTGTGCAGAGATCACATCATAAATTCCAAAAATGGCATTAAAATCGGAACCATCTGTGCGTAAATGACGCATCACGTTCCATGGCCTGGCTCTTTCTTTCATAGATGTTGGCATATAAAATAAATTTGGCCCTTAAAACTGAATATTATACTATTCGTATGTAGGCTTAAAGTAAATAACTCATCTTGTCACTGAAACAAATCATCTGTTCAGCCGCTGCAGCAGCAGCTGCAGCAGCACGGGGAGAGGACATGGAGACATGTCCAGGTCAAGCTGCGCAAGAAATAAGAGGAAGAAGAAGAAAGAAAAGGAGGGAGACGAATTACATATCTTGTTCGCTTCATCATGTGTGTCTATTTACTGGATATTTAATTTAATTTAATGCGGTTTCAGCTGTGTTGATTCGGTCAGGTTGTGTGTCCAAACGCATGCCAAATGCACTCATCAGATCAGATATAGATCAGAATATATCAATATAGATCTAAATGTATGTGCTGACTCATATTATTAGTTGTTGATGATTATTTATTGCACTGAAATGTGCCTGACACTGTGGAAACCTGCCGGTGAGGATTCGGTGATGTATGCCGATACGCCGCCGGTCTGCCAAAATACCACTAGACCAGCTGCGCTCTGCCCGCACTGAAAGCTGACCAGGTTTGAATCAGCGAGCTTTTAGCGCACTTTATACGCCGGTGGCGAGCACGAAAATGTCACTGCACCCGCTGATTCTGTCAACACCTCCCCCTGCCACGCCACCTTGCCCAGCTTGGCGGATCTCGGTGCGCCTCAGTCCACGAAAATACCAAACTGGCTTTACACTGGGCTCCGCCAGACGAAAATACAACTGCGTGGGGTCTGCCACCCTCCACCGCATCCCTGGAGTACACGAAAATAGAGCCCTCAGTGTCACCCAGAATTTTCAAAACTACTTGATAAATACTTACTGTTAGATACATGTGTAAATATGGGTAAACTTTCACTAAAAGATGTATAAAGCATTTTTGAACTTCTATTTTAGAATACAGTTGCATTGACATAGTTGTAATTGTCACTATTGAATGTGTTTCTATTCAGATTTCCCAGTGTCCACAATGCCAGTCAAAGTGGGCAGAGGTGATAGAAATGAAGGAGTAAAATCCTATTGCGTTAAAACCTCTCACACTTCAACAATATCTCCATCACACGCATGGCCTGAACCATCAGCACAGACACAGACCATCCTCTAGGTTCAGGACTCTGAGGTGGAAGCGGGCACGCTTCAGTAAGAGCTTTGTCCCTTCTGCAATCACTGCTCTGAATAGTCTATCTATCTTTCTTTCTTTCTTTCTTTCCCCTGCTGTCTACACAGGTTACAGAGCCTCTTGAACTTGTTGGGATGGACCTGGTGGGTAAACTAGCAGGTCATCCAGGGCATTCCAGTAAATTATCCAGTGGACCAGAGGGGTGTGGCAGCCTGTAGGCTGCAAATTGCAGTGTCTTTGTTGCAAGAAACAGGTATTCAGTGCAAACTGCCTGATGATTGCTATTTTGTATTGGCTTTATGGTACATTTCTTCCTATCATTTTCACAGCTCTGTCGGGCGTGTGGGGCATAGAGCTCTGGATCAGAAATGGATCAGTGGGTAAGAGGATTGTTTCAATTCTTGGCCAACACTGGGCTAGAGGACTATGAACCACAATGGATTGGGCACCTTCTCCTCCCTGGGTGAACTCCCACAATTACACACAGCTATTGGAAATTAATTGTTTAGTTCACCTAACTTGTCTGTTCTGTGCTTTCTATAGCCACAGTTGCATCTGAAGGATACAGGAACCCCACATTGACAGGAGCACAGATAAGATCTAGATTGTGAGGAATACTATAGGCCATATGGAGTTTAAATGTTATTCAATGTCCTGATGTGCTCTGCACCAGCTGAATGACAGTAATCTAAGCTTCTTTGTTTTCTATTTTCAGATTGAGTGTACCATCTGCAACAAGTGGTACCACATGCTGTGTGTGGACCGCCCCTTCACTAAAGGGGACTACATGTGCAGGGGATGCATTTTGTAAATAAAGTTTATCTTGCCTACATCAATGCTGTTGTCCGTCTTCTGTTGCACTAATGGGTCCCTCTTGCCACTATGTGTTTATCAGAACCTGCTTGTTGCCATGGTTAAGGACTGTTAGTAGCTTATTGCTTTTTTTATATCACACCCCTACAAAGACAAAATAATCAAAGAAGACAAAGAAGGCCTTGTACTTTAAACGCCTTCTTGTGACCATTTAGTCCGGCTTCATTGTGTTTAGGGGGGCTTTGTGTGAGAAATACCCCTAACGCATTGATCAGTGATGATAGCAATTACGATTACAGTCCACTAGTCCACTTACACAAATCAGCGGTTTGATTTCATTCATGTCAACTGCAATCAGTACGAGTGCTGACAGCGGATGCTATTTTTGCACTAAAGAGATGGATATTTTCAATATACTTTGACATCAAACGTTACGTTTCTACTTACTTGTAGTGTGTATCACAATGTTTGGAGACCTTCACAAACACATTGGATATGACCAAAAAGCAAGGTGTACAGACTGTCACAGGTTAAAACAAGTAACGTGTGGAGTACCTGCGACCTCATGCTGTGTTTTTACACATTCCTCAGACAGTTTTATACTGTCTGTGGCACTGTGGGTAATACTCACACACCTATTGATCACAAAGATGACTCAAAATAAATTCCTCTTACAACAAAAGGCTTTGTTAAATGTCTCCCCTGGGCGGGGACTTTATTATGATCAGGCATTTGTACAGTCACCAATTTTTCGTCTTCCTATATTTTATGTTTTCATCGTTGACCCAATAAACTCATTCTCAGTAACGTGTATGTCTCAGAGGGTCCTATAAATTGATGTGATACGGTAGCGAGTGGTGTAGTTAGATGTTCAACGTTAAGTGAGTGTAAACAAAGGTCCTCAAGTGAACTTCACACCAGTTAAACCGACACACCGGCTACACAGCCAAAGAAGAGAAAGATGGAGGCAGAAAGGGCTGTGACAAAGAAGCCTCTGGATAAAGCAAGAGAACAAACCAAAGTCAACATCGGGGCAGCCTTTGAGCAGTGGAGACAACACAGCGGTTGCTTTGTTTTTGTTAGGAGGGTAGTTATTTGTTTTGCTTTGGTGGACTTTTTTAATTTCCAAAAATGTAATGTTCGTTAGCTTATGTACTTTTGTAGCTCGTATTAGCCTGATGATAACGTTAGCTTTTTTCTATTTGTAAGTGGTCATAGTGGCCACCGTATGGGTATAGCTGTATAGAAGAGTTGTTGGACATGACATTTTGGTCATATTGCATTTGCAGTTGTTAGTGTCTGCATGGTAGTCTGTTGGTATCTACAGTAGCACCAATGCTATTTACTTTCATGTTAACTGGGCCCCTATGAGAGTATGGAATGTATTTGTGAAAGCAGCAGATTGAGCTGACTGGTGTGTCCTTTAGGTCATTGGTTCCCAAATGGCCTGTAAATTACACCAGAAGAGGCTGCAAAAACCTTGAAAGCGCTTTCGCTAAAGGCCGTCCTTGTCCGAGGAATAGCGTACATTATCTGTCCATCAGACCGGAGATTACTTCTGTTGGTGATTTTGGGAGTTAAGAGGGAACATACTAGGTAAGAGGGCAAGTCACCTAGAATGGCCTTGTAAAGAAAGATATACCAATGTTCCAATCTACGATTTTGCAGAGAGGACCAACCAACACTCTCATATAAGCTGCAGTGATGAGTGCGAAAATCTAAGCCAGTTACAAATCTTAATGCCGCATGATACACTGAGTCCAGCATTTTTAAAGAAGAGAGATTTGCATGCATGTATAAGAAGTCACCATAATCAAGTATGGATAAAAACGTTGCCTGTATAAGCCTTTTTCTTGCACCAAAGGAGCATCAACCCTTGTTTCTATAGAAGAAACCCAGTTTCACCCGGAGTTTCTTTGTAAGATATTCAATATAAATATAAAGGACAAATTTTCTTCCAATTTCAAGCATCGAGCACCCTTGATTGATATCAAAGTCCTGCGCCCAGCTAGTAACCATTGACCATGATGACATACAAAGAACATGTAGGGAAACGCTACAGACACTCACTGGGATCTCCTGGTTGGCTTTATACTCTGAAAATAAAGGCAAACAGAGCAAAGGCAGGAGGGCCAGAATTATACTTGCCATGATGGAAGTTAACTCAGCTGCAAGGCAGGATGGGTGAAATAGGCCTCAGCTGCAGAGCTGGGTAGTAGGCCTCAGGCTGCAGGGCTGGGTGGATGAGGTAGGCATCAGGCTGCAGGGCTGGGTGGATGAGGTAGGCCTCAGGCTGCAGAGCTAACAAGGCTACACATACAATGGAGTCAACAGACTCCCCAATTCATTCGTTGTTTACCCCTATATAATAATTTAAAACAATACTTGAAGATGCTGCCAATATTTAATTTATGTATGACGAAATAAAAACGTAAATAAATATTGATTTACCCATTTTTAAAGCGCTCGTAAGTGTGGAAAACTGAGGGCAGATGGAAACGGCCGAGCACTGCCGGGCTCAGTCGATGTCTGACCGGCGTGTCAGAGCGCAGCAGAAAACGCTTTATGTGTGAACAGCCAAGCGCGCGCCGGCACTGCGCGCACAGCGCTTCCGTTCCACGCGCGGCGATTCCTGTGTGAACCTGGCGTCAGGCTGCAAGGCAGGGTGAATGAGGTAGGCCTCAGGCTGCAGGGCTAGATGGATGAGGTAGGCCTAAGGCTGCAGAGCAGGGTGGATGAGGTAGGCCTCAGGCTTGCAGGGCATGGTGGATGAGGTAGGCCTCAGGCTGCAGGGCAGGGTGGATGAGGTAGGCTTCAGGCTGCAGGGCAGGGTGGATGAGGTAGGCCTCAGGCTGCAGAGCTGGGTGGATGAGGTAGGCCTCAGGCTACTGAGCTTTTCTTGTTGTTGGTACTGCCTCAGATCTTGGCTGCAATCTAGCCACACTACAGCAGCTCCCTTAGTCTTGAGTAGGTTTAAAAGGCTAACAGGTGGCCTATGGAGTAGCCAAACAAAGTAGAGCAGAGTAGCTTTCCAAAGGAGAATGCCAAAATCCACAAACCTTGATGCAATCTTTAAGTAAACTAGAACACTGAATAGTCCACAATGAAAAATACTATCTATTATAAAATCCAAAAAGAAATATTAAAAACAGACAAACACTGAGCAGAGACTGAACAGAGACACCACACATGCTGCCATCTTGGAGAGGGGGCGGGGACTGACATGTAGGTGTATCTCTTTCAGTTTATGCAGAGCCTGCACAAGCTTGGACCAGGTAACAGTCTGATGGTACTGATGGTACAGATGGTGACCTCTGTAACTCAAACGTCTCTTCAGCTTTACTCTCATCAACTGAGACTCATTTCTCAGTCTGGGTAGAGCCTGAATTGTCTCCTGGACTTCAGAGGGAACACATACAACATTACCACGTATAGCTCTCTGTCTGCCTTTGGGAAGAGGAATGATTTTGGCAAATGTTATGCACTTTGCTATCAGATGTCTCTCCAGTATGTTAAGGTCACACAGCTCAGGTGGTATGTCAGCAAGCTCCAAGTTATTTGCTATGGCAAGTTTGGGCATGGATCCATTTTTCAGATGGTCATGGCAGGTGTGACAAATCCACTCAGTCTTTATCTCGTCAGGAACAGTGCACTTATTTCTGCAGTCATCATTACATGCATGGACATACTGACCTTTGAGACAAGCTGAAAACATGATTGGATTTTTCACATACTTGGATCTCTTGCACTTTTGTACCTGGTTTGGAAATGAGGCTTTGTGACAAACCGTGCAAACATAGATGAGACCAGCTTTAATGTGTGATCGGAGTCCAACTTGAATCCAACCACAGAGCCAGCCTTTTTAATTTAGGACCTCAAATTATTTTGTAAAAAGATCTATTATCCCTGTGTATTTTATACTCTTAGAAATCATTTAAAGGTCCCTTTATAATGTTCATAACCATGTCCTGGTAAGCAATAATGACAATGGATTACTATGCTAATAAAATATGTGTTTTGGAGAATGCAATTTCTTTTACTGTGTTTTAAGTTTTCCAACTAAGTAATAAGTTGTAATGTGGCCAAGCAACACCATGAGCTGTCAACAGATGCATGCAAGGTACCTCAGAAGGACATACATGTTTCTGAATGTATAATTAAATGAATAATAAAATAAATCAATGGTGGCATAGATACTAATTGTCTAATTCCATACTAGGTAACATTAGATTAGCTTGTTTTTTAAAATATAAGAGATGCACAAAGTAAGAAATCACATTGATAAGTAATTATTTGGATGTTCATTAAAAAAAATTACAACTCCACAATTTAATGGTAATAAATTGCTCTCCAATGATCGGAAATAAAATGCAATCAAGTGTATTGCATATGACATTTAAGCTGTTCATTTCCAACTGTCAGTATTACATAATTAAAGGAAAAAAATCATCAAGCTACTACAGGATGAGTGGTCTATAATGTGTTGAATAAAGGTACACTGTGTTACTCATGAAAATGTCATTCCTGTGTGAACTTACGCCAGGTCACCACAAAGCGGTCTGCACTTGGAGACAGGATAGAGTTGGCAAAAAGGAAAATGTAAAAACAGAGACAAGAGATTTTTAGTTTAGTTGTACAAAACCAGCACATCTCACTGCATTGTAGTTTCAACTGTAATCAGCCAGCAAAATTACTTCCACTTGGTTCTGCATTAGTTAAAATAAAGTGTTATTTAAAATGGTTTGTGTTACAATAAAAATGTGCTGCAGTTTGTCAAATAAGGACACAATGTCAGGTTTTTAGATAATGTGTTGTAAAAAGTAACAGTGTAAACATTTTTAAGTTACTTTATTTGTTAACTTACAGCTGAGTCGCCAACAGTGAACAGGGCCCGCAGTAGAGGTAGCGTTGAGGAGTTCATAAAAGAGGGAAAAGACAGAGGGCCAAAAAAAATTTAATTTAGTTGCAAAAAAAATCTGCATCTTATAGTTTACTGCAATCACAACTTTTCAGTTTGGATCATTAGTTTTCGCATTTCTTATCAAAGTCTACAATTTGTCACACTTGATTAGTAAAAGGATGTTACTGCAGCTCCCTTGGCCTGTAAAAAAATGTTTGTTAAAATGGAGAGAAAATGCAACAAACACAATGAAGGACCTTTTTACTTTCTTCTGTATGTTAATTAGGTGAAATACAAAACAGTGAAATGTCATTATAAACTATAAACTACTATTGAAAACTAAACAGCTCCATCAGATCACCTGGCTGTTAGCTGTAGCTGAAAATGTCACATAATACATACTTATTAACCTGTGACTGTATGCAGATGCCAGCGAAGTGTCAGGTGTGCTGTCCTTTGACTCACCCACTAACAGCATGGAGATGTGGTCTCTCCACATTTTATCTGCATTGGAGGGTGCCGATGTTTTGGGCCTGGCTCCCTGGAGGTGCCAATGGGAGTCGGCTCGTGCATCTGCCGGGGTCCTGGTGGTGACGAAGCCGGTCCATGGGAGGGTGGTGTTGTTAGTGGTGCCCGCCAGGCTCCGGTCTCCTGCCTCCGTAGGCCCTGAGGTGAGCTATGACTTTGGTTTGCATGGTAGCCATGCTGGAAAAATCCATCAAGGTCTTATTCTTTTCCTGAAGGTCTTTCCTCAGGCCTGTGATGCTCTCCCTTAATTAAGAGATGGTGGGGAGGCAGGACTCACACACCACCATAATCGTTAAAAGTTTTAAAATTGCTGGCTCGCTAGTGTGATCCACCACCACACGACTTCCGGATTTTCCCACTGGATTTTGGCGATCCACAAACTTGACGGCTAAAACTTGTGCTATGTTTTTAAAAATTAGCTGATTAAAAGCTGGGGGTGGGTGGGTGGATGTCTAAAAAGAACTTAAATATTTCAAATAGTTAAAACAAGCGATTTCATTGGAGCTGAGACAATCTGTGTCGTCTGTGCTGTCAACACAGAACCCACAAACATTACACAAACATTACACAAACTTCGTTAGGAGACGCCTTTTCAAAATATTCCCACACGGGAGAAGTTTTTCTCTTCCTTGCTTGCTCCATTAAACTACTTCTACCACTAACTACTCTGACAACTTCTACAACGACTAACTACTGCTGCTGCTACTACTTCAACCACAACTACTACTAATTCTACCACTTCTACTGCAACTAATTCTATGCTTTTAATGACTACTACTGCTGATTATCATCCAAACTCTGCCATGAACCCATGAACCAAACTACCACCTACTACAACTCATAAAGTGCTGCATTTGTGTCGTGCTTTTATTTTGAAAAACGACACACAACATGAACCAGTCACCTGTGACCTGTGCAATGCGAGGCCTCGTTTGTCATCGGTCACATGGTTTTCAGCAAACTGTTGCAAGCCTTGAAGCGGGGCTTTCATACTTGTACATGCCTCAAAGCCTCGGCTTCAAACGTCCCATCACAAGGTCGGGGTACCCTTTACATTGTACAATACGTAGTCACACTTTTGTATAGCACACTAGGTTATGGGTTTATGCCATCTGTGTATGTTTAAAGAGACTTTTCTTAGCCAGTCAGTTAGGCCTTTTTGTTGCTGTTTCTTTGTCTCAGTGTTAAGTGTTAAGTTAGGCCCTGTTTTGTTAAGTTCATTTATTCGGCATTCTTCCCCACACAGTTGGCATCCCTCCCATTTTTGATTCCCTTTTGTTCATTACCTAATCATGTTAAATAAATAATTCACACACTGAAATTCCTCCTTGATTGTTTGTGTTACTTTCTTGTGCTCACTTAGAGTAGCATAACAGCTTGCTGACTTTGTTCTCTTTTTAACCCTACTCTTTGAAGAAGCAATATGTCGGATCTCCACCAAATGATATCATCAAATAACCTTTATGTATCATCAGACCTTTTGGACGCATACTTAATTACCAAAACTTTGAAAAATATCAGAGATGCAGAAGAGTGCAGAAAGGTCTCAGGACTGATGATGTGAAGAGGATCTAGGAAGTGGTTCAGCAGTCACTCCACAGTGGAGTCAACAGACTGTAACCTCAATAAGGATAAATCCTCTAATTCTGTGTAAAATCAATGAAAGTAAACACTGAGCTGTGCCTGTGATCCAACTCCAGTAAAGATTTGATACAAATAAATTATTTCCAACAAGATCCACAAATTACTCTAATCCACTAAAGCTGTTTACTCTGGATCATATTGTCTGTGGTTCATGCAAGAGCAGAATTTGAAATCCCTCTCTTTGTCAGGTAAAAAACCTCAGCAGAGATCCTTCTCATCTTGGCTCTAACAAAAATAACCTCTTAATAGCATTGTTCATGTACAGTAACTTTAGTCTTTCACAGTGTTTCCCCCACTGTCAGTCTGTGGCCTCATTGCTGCCATCTTGCTGTCAAATCAGGAAATGTGAGCATGAGGACATTGAAGACACTGTAGGAGGTGATGATAATGAATGTTTTTGAATAAAGTCCCTATTGAAAGTCAATACAAATATTACCAATAAATAACAGATTAATGGATATGGGCCCAGCTCAGCATTAAGCTGACAGTTTATGATTTACAAACAAGAAGTTTATCAACATAAAGTAAAGGACATCTGCAGAGTTTCAGCTTCATCTCGCTCTTGAAGCTTCACTGTCTATTTCATGACTGCCAATGGACATATCAGGTCTGGGAAGGAAGAGGAGGAGGCCTTGCACTGCAGTGTTTTGAATGTGCACTGTACATGGCCAGCGAAATAAATGGACGTAGCAATGGTGACGTCTCCTTACCGGAATATCTTTGACACTAATGTGTAACGAAATAGGTTATGGGAGCCCTAAGTTGTGCAGACCATAACAGTTTTTTGAATCTGGCTGTAAATGTGTTTATTTTAGCTCTAAAAATTATGCTCCTTTTTCAACAGTTTTTAGCGC